CCACACTCTATGGTTTGATTTTAAAAAAAACAAAACAAAAAGAAAGCAATAACTTCTCTTTTTACTTTGTAGAAAATGGTTTGGTTTCAAAGATTTTACAAAAAGTAATGTTGATGTAAATTTCTCATTTTTAAAAAAGAAAAATTATTTACACAGAGTCTGTCTGCCTGTTTGCCTGCAAGTCAGAAGAGTGAACCAGATCTCATTATATATTTTTGTGAACCACCATGTGGTTGCTGGAAATTGAACTCAGGACCTATGGAAGAGCAGTCAGGGTTCTTAACCTCTGAGCCTTCTCTCTACTCTAGCCCCTTAAGTTTTTTATTTTTATAGGTGTTATCTTTTATGCCTTTAAAAAATGGTTAACCTTATGTTCAAATATGTATATGTTTCTGATTGATCTTTTTATTATTCTGATACCTTAATCTTTAAAAAGTCAAATTTATTTATTTTACTTTGTGTGTGAGTGTTTTGCTTGTATGTATATATGTATGTATGTGTGCACCATGTGCCTGCCTGTTAGTTCTCTTAGATTTGAAGTTACAGATAGTTGTGAGCCATTATGGTTGCTGGGAATCGAACCTGTGTCCTCTGCAAGAAAAACAGGTGCGCTTATCTGCTGAGCTGTTTCTTCAGCCTGATTTCTTAATCTCGAAATAATTTTTCCATCCCTAGTTCATACCAGTCACTTGAATTTTACTTGTCCTTGAAGTTAAGCAGATGGTGAATTTTAAATGTTTTGTTCTGTGGTCTTAGGTATTCTGATCTTTATTAGTAGAAATTTTGTTTCTAACTGAGATCCTGCTCCCATTTCATTAAAAAAACAAAAACAAAACAAAAAGATAACTTAGAAAATCAGTTTCCATTCTTTCAGACTTACCATGGTATATCAAAAAATTAGCCTTTTTCTTTATTGAGCTTTTATATTTTTAGAAAATAACTTTTTCCTAAGCATAATTGCAAATTGCTTTTTAAAAGGCCTTTTTAAGTAAAATTGGTTGGGTAAGACAAATGGAACAACTAGTTAAAGCTCACTCTCTCTGTAATTATTTTGAACTTCAGAGTTCCTAGTTTTAACCTGGTTCAGTCCCATCTTACTAGATTTAAGTGGCTTTTGTTTTGTTTTGTTTTTTTTCATGCAGGTTCTGCTCATTAATCACCACGAGTGTGGATCTGAAGAAGAGTTTATTACCTCTTTTTTTGAGTATGTTTAACTTCAGATACACACAACGTAGCCTCTCCTTCCCTATTAGATTCTTAGAAGGTAGTTATATTTTTTTTATAGTCTCCTTCTTGTGGTTTTGTTAGTTGTGAACAATAAGAGTAAAAGCTATTCTTTCATTCTGGGCTACTGCATGCTAATCAGTTCATCTGGAACCTCCTGGAGGTCTTTGGCATGCCATTCTTAAATATGAGTGTTAATTTGTGGAGGTAACCATGTTCCAAATAAACCTAAGAGTTGAGTTCTTTTGTCCAGAGTCTGGGAGAGTTACTCTTTCTCTTCTGGGGATCCACTGACTTTAAGGGGTTTGATTGTTTTTGGTATGTAATTTTCAGAATTTATTATGATGAAAAGTGATAAATTAGAAATTTTGTGGTATGACATCTCTCCGAACAAGCATTAGAAATTAGCTTTTATTCAATATGTTGTAAACTTAGCAAAGCAGATGATTGATCACGCTTTATTAGTTAATCATTAATGGACATGTATTTTTCAGTTTTGCAATTTTTAGACAAATAGGTATACTTTTTGTTTAGTACATGAATGAGTAAAGTATGATACATAAAAAATATTCTTTTATATCTAGGGCTGGAAAAAAGAAAGAATTCTGGCTGAATATCCTGATGGTAGGATAATAATGGTTCTTCCCGAAGACCCAAAGTATGCTCTGAAAAAGGTACATTTTCAGTGACATTTCATGCAGAAAACTTGGACTTAAGGTTAAGAGAATAATACATTGCAGACTTTGCACATTAAACACCAATTTTGAAAACAAGAAATAAGCATTTAAAGAGTATAGCCTACCTGAAGAAAAAAATTAACCCAGCTCATTTGGAAGTATGTTCAATCTTACTACATAAAAATATGTGAGGTAGCTTGAGTACCAATCCATTGAGTGAGTACCTGGAAGGGCATGCATATGCCTTAAGTATTCCATAGCATTTACTTTAGTGAAAAATGAATTAGGTAATGAAGCATAGCATCTTTTGTCATACAAGGTGATTTGAAAGGGATGATGGCATAAACTTACTTGCCAATCTCTGAGTTCAGTCACCATTAGTGCAAAAAGAAAAACACATTACATTTATAAATAATAGACTTAGTATTGTCTTTTTGTCTCTCACATTACTTTTTTCTTTCACAGAAAATTCTTAATGTGAGTATGAGTTTTAGTTATTTATCTAAAAACCTAGTTGCATTCTAGTATGTGTCCAAAATGTCTAGAACTACAAGGGAATTAATTTATTTGCTATAAATTCTTTAGATTTATAATTGGACATCTTTAAATCTAAGATTATGTCACCTGAAAGGGAGGCTAAGGAAACACCTATTATTTGAAAATATAGCTAATGTCTTTTTTATATATAATATTTATTGAGCTCTACATTTTTCTCTGCTCCCCTCGCTACCTCTCCCCTTCCCCCCTTCAACCCTCCCCCAGGGTCCCCTTGCTCTCAATTTACCCAGGAGATCTTGTCTTTTTCTACTTTCTACTTCCCATGTAGATTAGATTTATTTAAGTCTCTCTTAGTGTCCTCATTGTGTCTAAGTTCTCTGGGATTGTGGTTTGTGGGCTGGCCTTCTTTGCTTTATGTTTAAAAACCCACCTATGAGTGAGTACATGTGATAATTGTCTTTCTGTGTCTGGGTTACCTCACTCAAAATGATGTTTTTTAGCTCCATCCATTTTCCTGCAAAATTCAAGCTGTCGTTATTTTTTTCTGCTGTGTGTGCTCCACTGTGTAAGTGTGCCCACTGTGTAAGTGTGCCCACTGTGTAAATGTGCCCACTGTGTAAGTGTGCCCACTGTGTAAGTGTGCCCACTGTG